AGCTGGCTGAGCATGTCTGTCTTGAGTAGAATAAACGACATTTCAAAAGATTCGAGATGTTCTCAGGCCTTTGAAAACAAATGGCTTGTCAAAATGTCAAGCGTAATGAAAGCTCCACCATAAAAAACTTGTTGAGACAATACAGAAAGCTCTGGTCATGGTTGAAGACAAACGCCCAGGTTTTACGAAAGGTGAGCATGGAGATAATTGATTGAAACAAGCGAGTTGATATCGTCGGAATCAGTCGAGGCGGTGTTGGGAAGCGTGGAATAAACCCGCCCGGCTGCATTTCCCACCAATAGAGACCAGAACGGTTTGGAAAGAAAGCAACCATTGTAGGGGAGGCCGCGGGATTCCATTTCCCTTGAAACCACGACTGATTGCGCCACTATCAACTGTATATCGTATGGTCTTAAATGCTAATTCCAATAGTTTTTCTACAACATTAACTAGTTGTGATACCTTTGTTTAATGGGCTTTCAAAGAGAGTACTCGAAATTTAGGTCAATTACTTTCCCGCATGTGCCCTTAACTGCATACTAAACGATTCCGGCATCCTCCTTTCGTGCCCATGTAGAGCGTGTACATACTGAAGCCATTTATGCGATTCGAATGCAGGGATGTGCCCTGTATAACACCTGACGTGAAAATTCCAGAATCCTTCCTTGTTTGTTGAAGAGACAGGGGTAATGCGCTTGGGCTGAGACTGGACCCAAGCGACCTTCTACACAGACACATGCACGACAAAGCCACGCGTGCTGTTCCAGTGTACATAGGTAGTGGCGAGGTACTACCATGAGATGAAACAGTAACACGCGAGTTTGTGCGACGTCAGGACATGTCAAGCTGGCTTTATGAGAGGGCGCAGACATGCAGAAATGCCTCAGCCTGACTGAAGAGTGGCCCGCTTCCGAGGCAACTAACGCCAAGAGGTATTTCATGAGGTTGCGTTCATACTTTGCAGCGTCCACCAGCTGTTTCGAGTGTCCGGTAGCGGTCTGCGACTAGGATGTATGGGATATTGATTCTAGCGTGGCGCAGCGTCTTACCGGCTCTACCCAGCGTCCACCAGCGTCATACCGGGTCCACAGGCTTCGAGGGCTAGGGGAGTATAGATATTCGATCTAGCGTTCACCAGCGCCTAACCAGGGATTTAAAAAGGGTCCTCGAGAGCTAGAGGAGTATAGGTTTCGTATTCGATCTAGCGTCCGCCAGTGTCTACAGCATCCACCAATGACCACTGCAGACTGCTGGTAGAGAGTGTGGTGCGGGAGGGTACTAGCTGCCTGCGACCCTCCTATCTCCTCAAACTCTACCAGCTGTCTGCTACCCTCCTATTGCACCATACTCTCTAATTCCGGTAGACGCTGGGTCGATATCCATTCTTTCCTAGTCGCTGACCGGCTCATGGAACGCTAATGGACGCTATTGGCCGCTGGTGGACGCTGCTGCAAAGTATGAATGCAGCCCAAAGCTTGCAAATTTCCCAATTCATTGGTGAATAGAATGTAATATAGAACTTGTAAACACAGTGATAGCACATGAAAAAACTTACTCGAACGAACTCGCTTGGAACGTACACGAAAACATCGTCATCATCGGTCTGAAATGAATAATATCAGTTCGCACCAGTACATTTGCGGACCACTTCAAAATGTGAGTATTTTGTAATGGGATTAGTTTTGTATGAGCTACAGTTACAGCAGACACATGCATGATTAGTTTCAAGCACTCGAGAGAAGGAAAATCGATTCACCTGGTAGGTGTTGCCGTAGGAACTTATGTCTCACTATCACTGACAATCATCAATGAATCGTAGAAAATCAAGGAGTTTATTTTCTCATATCAGAAACACTTGATGAGACTTGTGATAGATGACACCATGAATAAAACTCTGTTTGCGTCATTTTTTTTGTTCATGAAAATTTCCCGAAAAAAATCATCTACACAGCGCGTAGCATAAATTTGATCTATTATGTACATGCAAGCATCACAAAACACCAAAGAGATGTGGGACAGAAAGTGATAGTGATAGGAGCCAAGAAATAATAGTAGAAGAAGGAAAAATTAACGGTACAATTTTTTAACGACGATTTCCGTCACATCTCCGATCACCCCGTATGGCGCTTTGAACATCAATCGCGTAAAATCAATACCCACCCAAGATTAGACGCATGCGCTAAAGGAGTGAGCTGAAATGTGAGAGTAATCAGAAATAACCAGTTGCGTGGTCAAAAATTGTACGGGCTGTACTGGTAAAATGATGAACAGTGTATCAAGTCAGGAACAGGGGCAAAGTTGTACCGCTGTGAACAAAAGAAGGAAAAATTTGGAAAAGGAGAAGGAAAAAAAATCAAAAATTCATGGAAAAATAAACATATGTTGCTTTATACAGAATCGTCTACCTTCACTGGTTTCAATAGTTTTTCCTTTGCAATGCATTTTCGCATATCTTTAGCTGTCCAACGATCTTTGACCCGCGGTGTAAGGGTTCTGAAATATGTCGAAATAATCATTTTTTCGAAAATTTCACTCCAGAATGTTGCTAGCTTTCTCTGAAGCACGCTGGAATAGTTTTGATAACTGGGCGTTCTGGACCGGATTAGTACAGTAAAGGCGCCTCTATTGGAAATCGGATTATGCTTTAAAATTCGTTTCAATACCTGCTAGTTCTAGAACGCGAAACAAAAACCCGTGAGAGTCAGAGACAGCCAAGTGGGTAAGGCTAACTGTACACGACCCCCCCCCTTGAGGGTGGTCCTTGCTATGTTACTCACAGCTCCAGTAGCTGTAACTTTCTTCACACAAAATTACACGGGAAAGAGGCTGTAGGGTATCACCCGAGTGCCGTCTTCATAGTCCGCCCGCGCTATCCTCTGCGTGCAGTCCGCGTCGAGAAAGACGAGTCGCGCAGCGAGACGCGCACTCAACGGCAGAGAACAGCAAGAAGTGATAGGGCGCAGACAAGTAGCGTGTCTGGCTATGGTTAGGCGTGCGGCTGGCCGTGCGGCAGCGCGGGCAGAGTATGGAGACAGCTCTCGGGTATCACTCAGCCCCATTCACGTGCATTTTGACGGAATAAAGTGGGACGTTACTGCAGCTGCAGGCCCATTCTCCCCACCAGCGACAAGTAGCAGGATCCACGGAGGTCAGTGTACAGTTTAACCTCCGGTTAGCAGCGCAAATGGCAAAGTTTTGGGAAAAAGTTGATGTGGGGAGGTGTAGGGTGTGGAAAAAGTTGATGAGGGGAGATGTAGGGTGTGAAGGGGTGTCAGAAAGTCGCGGAGGCAAATTTCGGCATTCTATTTAGCAGTCACAAAGTAGAACTCCATGGAAAAAAATCAATGAACGAACTTTTTCATCAGTTTCAGTGCTTTTTCACTGAAAGTTGACCATCGCTTTGGCAACGTCGGATTTTTCCGTTTCAACCATTGCTCCCATTCCCAATATGGTTTACACATTATCGACGCTTTTTGCCATGGAAATCGTCCTTTCATGCAGTAGTAAAATATTATACCTGAAAATTTATAACTTAGGACGACCGGCCCTCTTAGCTGGCACAGTTTTTTGGAGCATAGTTCAGCTCTGCCTTATCACTATAATCCAGGGATCAAAGTGATGGCTCTATTTTGACCCTGAACAACTACGCTTTCCATCTTTATACATATGGCGGTTTACTTTGCACCAGGTTCGTCTGGGAGGGCAAAAGTGCGAAATCCCACATCCCGCAAATTGATGTGTTAGGCAAAACCCAGATGTAGTTCTACGGAAGCGGTCACGATTCGATGTGAAAACTCAACACGTGCCACATTCTAGAAAAAGGCAAGTCAGTTCAGCGCTCTTTTAATGAAGGATGAAGGTATGAAGCCTTCGTCATCGATAAATCCCATTTCTGAACGCACCACGCATTCTACGTCCACTCAGAATATGTAGTACTGCATTATAATGCGATAAGACCTATACAGTGACTTGCGGAGGTCAGCCGAGTGCGGAACTCAGTCACTATCCTCCTAGATGATTCTGGTACCAATTTACTATACCCGAAGGGTGGAAGGCTCGGATGGGCGGAGCGCGAGCCGATCCGGTATTTGATCTTCGGACCACGTGCGTATTAATCGTGCCACTTGCCGCCCCTTCGCTCTTCCTTCTGTCATACGCTGATTAACTATCCGGAAGAGAAACGAAAGGAGCTGCACATCAGCACCCACTTCAACCAACTTCTGGCCAAATTGCAAACACCATCGAATGAGACTCTGCTCATCCTTGACCACTAAAGCCTCTACCATTATTAAAGGCAGTTGACACGATAAATCCCCCAAGACGACTAGGATCAATACGCCTGGCAGGACGGAATTCCGCGACCCTGAGCAGGCGCTGCATAGCGGCTTCTCCAAGGAAGGTGCCCTTATAAGGGCCCTATCAAGCCACAACATACCGACCCGAACGCCCACGCCCGCCCGCCCACAAATGGACGACCGTTCCTGACGCTCGTATTCATTCATTTGCTAAGCAAATTATGAAGCGAAGGGATTGGTATGAAGCGATGCTGCATGCATATATGGGTACACATATGCAGCCGTATCTTCGGTAGCGGTGATTGGCAAGATGCCTACGGGAAACTCGTCCGAAATCGATTTTCAAGTCACTGAGAACGGAGGCTTTTTCTTCGCAGGATTTTGACCGTTTCAATCCGTTCTTTCGCTGTTTCCCAACTATATAGCGCCCTACTAGCATTTTAGGCCGAGTGGGAAATCATCGTGCCAACTGCTGTTGAAAGAAAGTGGAAAAATGAAGATACAACAGAAACCACATAAGAACACGAAAAAGTAGCAAAATATGCAGGAACCACATTTC